GGCTCCCCATGACCTTTTTAAAATCTATTCATATCTAGCTTTTGTTCTTGATCTGTTCATTAAAAACTAGCTGAAATGAGAAAGTTGGCAAGCATTTAGTGAACTAGTAGAAAATGTTTCTTTTTTTTTTTTTTTAAAGGTTTTTGCCATAAGACATGTGCACTCCCCAGAGAGAGACAGACAGACACAGGGAAAGTGAAAAGTCACCCCTTGGGGGATGGCCATGCAGCAGTCCTCTCTTCTGGAATTGTGGGTGCACGCACGCACACACCTGGTATGATATTCAAGTGCCAAGTCCAAGACTCAAACTATGTGGATCAGCTATGTGGAATGATATTCAAGTGCCAAGTCCAAGACTCAAACTGCGATCAGCTATGTGGAGTCTAGCACCTAACCACTGTATCAACTACTGGCCCTGAAAATGTTTCTCTTGCTAGAACCTTCTGAGCTTAAGTAAGATTTTCTAAAACAAAATTGGTTTCTTAATTAAATATGTATTTCTTTCCTGCAGGGTCTCTGTTATGCACCTAAAGCCTTACTGGAAACTCCAGAAGAAAGAGCACCCCTCTGAAGACAACAGGGAAATTCTGAAAACTCCTATGAGCCACCAAAAGGCCATAAATGATGAAAAATGCAGATCTAGCTACATGAAACCAAGCGTCTTTCCTTCAGCCTCCCTTGGTAAAGTGTCATCTCGACAGCCTTTTAGGATCCTTTCTCCAAATGTTCTGTGCAGTATGAGTGGGAAGAGCCCTTTAGAGAGCAGCTTGAACATTAAAACCAAAAAGAATGCACCATCTGCCACGATCCACCAGGGCGAAGAAGAAGGGCCGCTTGACATCTGGGCTGTCGTGAAACCTGGAAATACCAAGGAGAAGATTGCATTCTTTGCAGCCCACCAGTGTAGCAATAGGATAGGATCCATGAAAATAAAAAGCTCCTGGGATATTGATGGGAGAGCTACTAAAAGAAGGAAAAAATCAGGAGATCTTAAAAAAGCCAAGATACAGTTAGAAAGGATGAGGGAAGTCAGCAGCAGGTGCTATCAGCCTGAGCCATTTGCGTGTGGCATCGAGCACTGCTCTGTGCATTACGTGAGTGACAGTGGGGATGGTGTCTATGCCGGGAGGCCTCTGTCAGTGATACAGATGGTCGCCTTCCTAGAGCAGAGAGCCAATGCTCTGCTGGCGAGTTGTGCAAAAAACTGCACAAACTCACCTGCTGTTGTGAGGTTTTCTGGCCAATCCAGAGGTGTGCCCCCTACTTCTGAGCCCTTCTCAGCTCCAGGAGCTTGTGAAGAACCCACAGAAAAGGAAAATCCTGAGGTTAGCGAACCAGTCCGTGTCCTTGACATGGTAGCCAGGCTGGAGTCTGAGTGCCTGAAGCAGCAGAGCCAGCGTGAGCCAGGGAGTCTCTCGAGGAATAACAGCTTCCGGCGAAATGTGGGCAGGGTGTTGCTTGCAAGTGGCACTCAGGCCGATGAAAGCAAAACAAAGAAAAGCACCTTGGAGGCACCTGACACTCAGGTGAATCCTGTGGGGTCATTATCTGTGGACTGTGGCCCCTCTAGAGCTGATCATTGTTCTCCTGAGGGGGACCAGCCCTGGGACAGTGCTCCTCAGGGCTGTCCCTCTTTGCCAGCAGGTGTCAGTTTCCACATGGACAGTACAGAATTAGAGCCAGACCAGCAGTCTGCCATGAAAAACAGCAACAGATATGATGTGGAAATGACAGATGATGTTGTGGGGTCACCTTTTTCGTCTCTTACCTGTCACCAAGCCACTGAATTGCCCACAGGTGCCATTGATTGTATGAGTAGAGAGCTTGTGCCGCCCACTAGCCAGAATCCTGACCAGAGGAGGAAAGAATCTTTGTGCATTAGCATCACTGTGTCCAAGGTCGAGAAGCACCAGCCTTCTAGTCTTGGCTCCTATGAAGATCCGCTTCCGGGGATGTTGTTTTTCTTGCCACCTGGTCAGCACCAGTCAGACTGTGCCCAGTTGAATGAAAGCACAAGTGAGTCTTCAGAAGCCAGCCCACTTGAAGGTGCTGCTGAGGGAGGCAGCACCTCGGAAGAAAGAAGTGTTCCAACTGAGCCATCCCCCCCACCAGCCCCTCCTGTGAGAAGCACATCCCCTGGGCTCGAGGCATCTGGTTGGAAGAAGCAGGTGTCTCATGACTTCCTGGAGACCAGGTTCAAGATCCAGCAGCTCTTGGAGCCTCAGCAGTACATGGCTTTCCTGCCCCACCACATCATGGTGAAAATCTTCAGGTTACTTCCTACCAAGAGTCTTGTGGCTCTTAAGTGTACCTGCTGCTACTTCAAATTTATCATTGAGTATTACAACATCAGGCCTGCAGATTCTCGCTGGGTTCGAGATCCACGCTATAGAGAGGATCCTTGCAAGCAGTGCAAGAAAAAGTATGTGAAAGGGGACGTGTCTCTCTGCCGGTGGCACCCCAAGCCCTATTGCCAGGCGTTGCCCTGCTTGCTTCCGCCGGCCGGCCGCGCGGCTCCCCATGACCTTTTTAAAATCTATTCATATCTAGCTTTTGTTCTTGATCTGTTCATTAAAAACTAGCTGAAATGAGAAAGTTGGCAAGCATTTAGTGAACTAGTAGAAAATGTTTCTTTTTTTTTTTTTTTTTAAAGGTTTTTGCCATAAGACATGTGCACTCCCCAGAGAGAGACAGACAGACACAGGGAAAGTGAAAAGTCACCCCTTGGGGGATGGCCATGCAGCAGTCCTCTCTTCTGGAATTGTGGGTGCACGCACGCACACACCTGGTATGATATTCAAGTGCCAAGTCCAAGACTCAAACTGCGATCAGCTATGTGGAGTCTAGCACCTAACCACTGTATCAACTACTGGCCCTGAAAATGTTTCTCTTGCTAGAACCTTCTGAGCTTAAGTAAGATTTTCTAAAACAAAATTGGTTTCTTAATTAAATATGTATTTCTTTCCTGCAGGGTCTCTGTTATGCACCTAAAGCCTTACTGGAAACTCCAGAAGAAAGAGCACCCCTCTGAAGACAACAGGGAAATTCTGAAAACTCCTATGAGCCACCAAAAGGCCATAAATGATGAAAAATGCAGAGCTAGCTACATGAAACCAAGCGTCTTTCCTTCAGCCTCCCTTGGTAAAGTGTCATCTCGACAGCCTTTTAGGATCCTTTCTCCAAATGTTCTGTGCAGTATGAGTGGGAAGAGCCCTTTAGAGAGCAGCTTGAACATTAAAACCAAAAAGAATGCACCATCTGCCACGATCCACCAGGGCGAAGAAGAAGGGCCGCTTGACATCTGGGCTGTCGTGAAACCTGGAAATACCAAGGAGAAGATTGCATTCTTTGCAGCCCACCAGTGTAGCAATAGGATAGGATCCATGAAAATAAAAAGCTCCTGGGATATTGATGGGAGAGCTACTAAAAGAAGGAAAAAATCAGGAGATCTTAAAAAAGCCAAGATACAGTTAGAAAGGATGAGGGAAGTCAGCAGCAGGTGCTATCAGCCTGAGCCATTTGCGTGTGGCATCGAGCACTGCTCTGTGCATTACGTGAGTGACAGTGGGGATGGTGTCTATGCCGGGAGGCCTCTGTCAGTGATACAGATGGTCGCCTTCCTAGAGCAGAGAGCCAATGCTCTGCTGGCGAGTTGTGCAAAAAACTGCACAAACTCACCTGCTGTTGTGAGGTTTTCTGGCCAATCCAGAGGTGTGCCCCCTACTTCTGAGCCCTTCTCAGCTCCAGGAGCTTGTGAAGAACCCACAGAAAAGGAAAATCCTGAGGTTAGCGAACCAGTCCGTGTCCTTGACATGGTAGCCAGGCTGGAGTCTGAGTGCCTGAAGCAGCAGAGCCAGCGTGAGCCAGGGAGTCTCTCGAGGAATAACAGCTTCCGGCGAAATGTGGGCAGGGTGTTGCTTGCAAGTGGCACTCAGGCCGATGAAAGCAAAACAAAGAAAAGCACCTTGGAGGCACCTGACACTCAGGTGAATCCTGTGGGGTCATTATCTGTGGACTGTGGCCCCTCTAGAGCTGATCATTGTTCTCCTGAGGGGGACCAGCCCTGGGACAGTGCTCCTCAGGGCTGTCCCTCTTTGCCAGCAGGTGTCAGTTTCCACATGGACAGTACAGAATTAGAGCCAGACCAGCAGTCTGCCATGAAAAACAGCAACAGATATGATGTGGAAATGACAGATGATGTTGTGGGGTCACCTTTTTCGTCTCTTACCTGTCACCAAGCCACTGAATTGCCCACAGGTGCCATTGATTGTATGAGTAGAGAGCTTGTGCCGCCCACTAGCCAGAATCCTGACCAGAGGAGGAAAGAATCTTTGTGCATTAGCATCACTGTGTCCAAGGTCGAGAAGCACCAGCCTTCTAGTCTTGGCTCCTATGAAGATCCGCTTCCGGGGATGTTGTTTTTCTTGCCACCTGGTCAGCACCAGTCAGACTGTGCCCAGTTGAATGAAAGCACAAGTGAGTCTTCAGAAGCCAGCCCACTTGAAGGTGCTGCTGAGGGAGGCAGCACCTCGGAAGAAAGAAGTGTTCCAACTGAGCCATCCCCCCCACCAGCCCCTCCTGTGAGAAGCACATCCCCTGGGCTCGAGGCATCTGGTTGGAAGAAGCAGGTGTCTCATGACTTCCTGGAGACCAGGTTCAAGATCCAGCAGCTCTTGGAGCCTCAGCAGTACATGGCTTTCCTGCCCCACCACATCATGGTGAAAATCTTCAGGTTACTTCCTACCAAGAGTCTTGTGGCTCTTAAGTGTACCTGCTGCTACTTCAAATTTATCATTGAGTATTACAACATCAGGCCTGCAGATTCTCGCTGGGTTCGAGATCCACGCTATAGAGAGGATCCTTGCAAGCAGTGCAAGAAAAAGTATGTGAAAGGGGACGTGTCTCTCTGCCGGTGGCACCCCAAGCCCTATTGCCAGGCGTTGCCCTACGGGCCAGGGTACTGGATGTGCTGCCACCGGTCCCAGAAGGGCTTCCCTGGCTGTAAGCTGGGGCTTCATGACAATCATTGGGTCCCTGCCTGCCACAGCTTTAATCGGGCAATCCACAAGAAGGCAAAAGGGACTGAAACCGAAGAAGAATACTGAAGTCCATGCGAGAGGCTATAGAACACCGAATCTTAAAACCGTGAAACAGCTGGGTACACCAGGCAAGTGAGTCCTCGCTCTAGGAGTCTGTACTTACTCCATCGGGACTGCCACTGCTCAGGCTTTTTTTTTTTTTTTTTTAAACTCAATTTACAAGCTGTACAGAAAATTGATCTGTCTCTTTTACAGTAGCGCCTCATATTTGATCCAGGGCGGTGTCCCAGTTGATCGGTTGGCTGTGAGTAGCAGAGCCTGTTTCCTAAAGCAAGCCCATCCTCGAAGGGTGAAGACTGCCACCATCAAGGACATTCCGAAGAGCTCACTGCAGACCGGCAGGCAGGCAGCCCCCAACAGGGGTTCAGAAATGCTTTGAGCACTGGCACCGGATGTGAGATGAGTGTATAGTGTCCTAGGATAAAAACAGACTCTGGGAGGAAAAGTATGCTTAAAAGGAAAAGTTAGGCACCTTACCTTAGACCTTGTATGCTTGATCTGTGAGATTGCTGTTTGTGGTTGGAGATGGATTTCATGCCCTGTGGTGTTTACAGTGTATATAATGGTTGTGTTTTCATAGGGCTGTGAAAGTGCACATTAAATGCGAGCGCCTTTACCGTTAGATGAGTGCTTTGACCCCTGTATAGAACGTGATTACAATCCAGTTGTACATAACGGACAGCTGCCCGAACACGGAGTCACCACAGTGCAGCGAGGGTAGTGTTGCCGCTAGTTGTTTTTTTTTTTTTTTTTTTTTTGTCTTGTCTCAAATTTGTACATCCTGTATAAAATATGAATGTTTCCCAAATAAACTATGAATGTTTTCTGTATAATATATGAATGTTTCTGAGAAGAAACTCTAAATAGTTAAGGGGTTAATCTGTTCAAAGGATACCAAATAATGGTTTAACTGGACAAGCTTAAAAGTAGCATAGAGAACAACCCTTTGTTATATTTTAGTGATCCACCAAGAATATGAAAATACTATATTGTAAGATTATAACATTCTTGTCTACTTTATCCTTTCTGTCTGGTTACAAAATTTTTTAAACTTCAATAAAAACATGCATCTTAAATGGGACCTGTGTCCTGTCACTCTTTATTTGATGTAGCAGGTTCTTGTGAACCAGGTTATAAGAATTAAAAAAATAATAAATAAAAAATTTTTTTGAGGGGAGAGAATATTTTTTTACTGCCAAGGAAAAAAAGACCATTTTCACTTAACATTGTCAGCGTGTGTGCTCACAGCCCTTCAACATCTGTTATCTGCCTCACTATTTCCTGCTTGGTGAGGTGTTACCTAGGATATTCTTACTTGCCCAGGCATAATCAGTTTGAAGTCATTGGGATCCCTTCTGGCCTGTGGCCGTGTGTAATGTTCGGTGGGGCTGGGCGGTACTGGGCCCCAGAAAGCTGTCATGTGTGGAGGGTCTAAACACGAGGTTGACTTGAAATGGAGTACCCACTAGAAATCCTTGTGACCAGTGCCAGCTCCAAGTGTGGAGAGCGGGTATCCTGGAGGAGGGGCCAACTGGGGCATGCAATGGTCCTGAAGGAGGACGATGCAAGGGTTGGGCCAAGTCAGACGAAGCCAAGCTCACCTGTGGCTGTGGCTAGGCTAAGAGTGGGCAGAGCAGCTTCTCAATCAGAATTGACTTTGGCTGCTTCTAACCTTCTGCTCAGCAGTAACTGCTCCCTCCCTCACAAGGGAGTGCTACAACTATCTGGATGCTGAGCAAGTTTCCCAAGAGGCACATGATACCCTCTGGTACGCTGGCTGAGCCTGCAGGCTCAGCGTGTTTGTGACACGGGACCAAGAGAGGCTGGGAACAGGTTACTTTGCCTTTGAGAGATTAGAGTGCTTTTCCTCGTGACTCGCCCAGTTGGTTATGTTGGAAAAATGCTTCTAAATCCTAGAGGCCCCTGGGCTCAGCCTGCCATCCCAGCAGTGCCTTCCTTGGAAGCATTTTAGTAATGTAGGCTGAAGGAGATAAGGCATGTGACAGCCAGCTGGGCGTGTGGCGTGCCCCTGGTACATGTGAGCTGCCCTTGCTACCAGCTGTGGTTCTGCACTTGCCCAGGGTGGCCATGGGATGAACAACCCAGTTTTCATGAGTCAGCTTTCCTGCCGTGGGTTTCCCATGGGACGCAGCCATGGCTGTGCGGGAGGGGCTGACCTGACTGGGACCAGAGGCATAGTAGCAATGCCCGCCACTGGGCATGCAGTGCTTGGGGCCCTCAGAAGTCACTGGTGATGGGCTGACAGGTGGCGTGGTGGTTAAGGGCACTGGACTCCCACATGGCCGACCACCCTTCGAGTCCCAGGCTTCCTTTCTCACTTTCTCTCTATAAAAAAGAGAAAAAAAGAAAAAGAAAAAAAAAAAAAAGCCACTGGCGACCTGTTTTGAACTGGCAGGACCTGGCCCCAGCATGTTCTGTGTGATGGTAAGAGGCCATAGCAGGTAGCATCAGAGGGCGTCTGCTTCCTGCTCATTTCTTGACCTGTGTAGCTGTCCCCTTAGGAGAAAAATGCTGTGCTTCAGGGCCCCCTAGTGCCCAGCTGGTGAAACAGCCTGTGTTTGAAGTTCCTGCAACAGTGCCTCAGGATCAGACTTTGAAGGGCAGTGCAACCTTCCCCAGCCCTGCTCCTGCCAGAAAATTGGAGGGCTGCTCTCAGCTTTGGTTTAGAGGTGCTGTCAGGCCTGGCTTTTTTCTCTCCCACCTCTCACTTGTTGCCCTCCCTAGATTATTCAAAGACTAGAAGCAGAGAAACCAGGAGCTGTCAGCAATCCCCCTCCCGCCTCTGACAGTGTTTGTCCCCTGCCCTGGATGAGACCAGAGAAGAGGAGTTAATTGGAAATGAAAAAAGGCTAAGACAAGCTTGCTTCTTTAGGCCTTGTCCAAGGCCTGGCACTAAGATGGCCATGGGAGGACCAGCAGTTAGCGTAATGGCTATGTCGCTTAACTCCCATGTAGTTGACTGGTTCGCGCTCAGGACATCCGCGTGAGTGTGTGCCCAAGATCCTGAGAAAATGGAGAAGGGATTATAGCGTGGCCATACCCCCCGGGGGGTGATTTCTCGCTTTCTGTCTGTCTCTGTCTTTCTGGCGAGTGCATGTGCCCTATAGCAAAAACCTCTACCAAAAAAAATAAATAAAAGATGGCCATGGGAAGGGACTGCAGAAGCGACCCGAGGCCCTGCCTCAGCGCACTACGGGCTCTCAGCCCCATGCCTTCTCCACTCACATTTGGCCAAGCCCCTTTCAGTGCCCTGTGCAGGTCTATACCCCATGCCCTCTACACATCCCCTCACATGAGCTCACCCTGCACTGCACTCTGGACTCAGGGAGGGCAGCTTGTCCATGCCACCACCCTCTGCCTCTCCCATAGCACACGCGCTCCCTGACACCTTTGCATTCTTCTCTAGTGGCCTCTCTGAGAGGTGCTGGTGGTTCCGACTGCTCCATGCTGTCATTTTCTATCTAGGGTGGGAAACCAGAGAATTAAGCAGGTGATTTATGAACTGGTACTCAAGTCTATTAAATAGCATGGAGATGACTCTTTAAAAAACCCAATAGCTGCAACACAGTAAAACAGAAAGGCTGTACTTGTGCACCTGTATCTGTCCACCCAGGTCAGATGACCTATCTGCACAACCCAGTGTTTGCAGTCTGCTTGGGGCGGGGACCAGGCCCAGCCTGCCAGCCTTCACTGTGCTGGGACTGGGCTGCTGGCCACCTCTGTCCTTCCTCTCCAGTCCTCCGTCAAGGATCCCAGCACAACTCTGCTGTGGGGCATGTGACCTGCACAATTCTGCTTCCATCCGGGCCCTTCCTTACTCAGTAGAGAAGGCAACTTGGCTGCCCCAGTGCCCAAGCTGGGACCTCTCACATCCTCTCCTTTGCTATGGCCTGCGCTCTGCACAAGGTCTCTACAGGAAACCTGCACGCCTGCAATGGCCAGCGTCAAGGCGGCTTTACTGTCAGGGTGTAGCTACAGAAGCACGCCCTCCCTGCTCTTCACAGGGCACAGGTCAAGGACTCAAAGATCCCTTCTGCAGCCCATCCCACCCCCTCACCCCAGCCACCACCTCAGCCCTCTGCACACAGCGTGCCTGGGCTGCTCTTAGATTTAACGGGTCTTCTTTCTGAGGGCACAGGGTTCTGCAGACCGAGAAAACAGTCTGTAAGCAGAATCATGCAGGTTCAGGGGAGTCGGCCCCTTGGCCCTGCAAACCTTGCTCATGGAGAGGGGTATGGTAGTAGGGTCAGAGTGGGGTCTTCTAATGGGCAGGAGCTAATGCAGGAGCCCCAGCTGCCACTGGGACCAGGACAGGGGACCAAGTGGAAGAAGGAATAGACACGGCAGGGAGCCAGGAAACAAACACCCCAATCGTCAGAGTCCTGGAGGGACCAGTAGATGGCGTAGTGGTTACATCACTGGAATCCCACATGACCAACATCATCACCCCAGCCACCACCTCAGCCCTCTGCACAGAGCGTGCCTGGGGTGCTCTTAGATTTAACGGGTCGTCTTTCTGAGGGCACAGGGTTCTGCGGACCGAGAAAAGTCTGTAAGCAGAATCATGCAGGTTCAGGGGAGTCTGTCCCTTGGCCCTGCAAACCTTGCTCATGGAGAGGGGTATGGTAGTAGGGTCAGAGTGGGGTCTTCTAATGGGCAGGAGCTAATGCAGGAGCCCCAGCTGCCACTGGGGCCAGG